GGGCCTCTAGCTGTCTTCAAAAACTGTATCGGCATATGATCAGTTTCGATATGGAACCGCCGGCCGATTTCCCATACCACTGCTAAACATTCTTTCTCTATCGTTGAATACTTTAACTTTGCCATAGTCACTGGCATCTGTGCACACTGTGAACTGTCTTCCAGGTAAAGGTAGCTTTAGTGTCATTTGTTGGTGGTCGAGCAGTTGCCTAACTCTGTCGAATGCCTTCAGCGATTCCTCCTACCAAACAAACTTCGGTTCACCTAGTAGCCTGTACAGAGGGGCTGCTATCTGATTGAAGTTCTTCACGGACAGACTATAAAACGCTGCTCTACCCAAAATTGTCTCAATTTTCTCTTTGAATTCAGGGCCGGGATCGTCTTTGTCGTCAAGATTTTATGAGGTAGTGGTTCAGTTTCACCATTTCCCACTTTATGTCCCAAAAGAGTAACGTTCGTTTTGGCTATCTGAGACTTGGTTTTTTTGACACACAGTCCAAACTCTTCGATGCGTCGCAGCACGGCTTCCACATGGTTCACGTGATCACTTTCATTTTGACTATATATGACGAGTTCATCATCGTACACCTCAACGTTTTTCAAGTTCTTAAGTAATAGCGTCATCGGTCGTCTGAACTTAAACGATGCACCTGCTAGTCCAAACGGCATGCGTTTAAATCGATACCGTGAATGCTGTCTTGTCTCTATCGCCTTGTTTCATCGGTATCTGCCAGTATCCTGAGCGAAGATCGAGAACCGAAAGCAAATTTGCGCCTTGTAGGCGATGCAAAGTTTCTACTACTGGCACACGGTCTTAACTCTGTCATACTGTTTAACTGTCGAAAATCAACGCAGAATCTATACTTCCCATTCGGCTTTTTTACTAACAGCACTGGAGAGTTGTACGAGCTATCAGCTTCTTCAATAATATCATCTTTTAACATCTCTCGCACTTGTCGCTCAACTTCGCCTCCCAAATGACATGGGACTCTTCGCGTTGAAAATGACGTTCCTTTCGGACCACTCAATGGAATTTCACGATTCACCTTATCGCAACAACCGTATATGTCCCCATCTCTAGTGAACAGATGATCATATTTATTAATTAACTCTGTCATGTGTGCGCTCGACAGCTTAACCGCTGCTATCTCGCTGGTCTCATACATGCTGATATGTCCGTATTTCGTAATTACAATGTTCGCTTGCGTGTCGATTATAGCACCAATCTCCTGCAAAACATCCGCGCCAAGTACCGTCCGTCGTAATTCGGGCACAACAATGAAGGGGAACGTCACCTCGCAGCTGCCAACCACGACCGTACAGTTCGATCTACCCGTGATGCGTAATACGTGCCCACCTACCGTTTGCACTGTCAATGAACATGGACTAACACTCGTACATAAGTTATTGTCTATGAGGGACACAGCCGCCCCTGGATCTACTAAACATACTACTTCTTGATCATTCACTCACAACTTCGAATACACAGCCACTTTCTCGATAGCCCCCACTAGATCTAGTTTTATACGAGAAAAAGAACACGTATTATACCGTCTGAAACTTTTTCGCCTTTCTGGGCAGTATCTCCTCCAGTGTCCCAGCTTACCGCATTCAAAACACCTATATTTCCTGTCACCCAACTTTAACGCCGCCACTTTTCGCTCGTATTCGTTTGGTTTTGGTTGCTCTTTAGCGGCTACAGTTGTGCTCAGCAGCTGTCTGGTCACCTTCTCCAGCTCACTAATATCCATCGGCTGCGTAGCGTTAACCAGTTGTAAATGCTGAGAAATGTGGTCTGGGACACTCTCGATGAACTGGGAAGTCGGTCGCTGCGCCTCTGATTCCTCATCCAAAGTGTGAAGCGCACGTTGAAGTAGATTCGTCAATTTCACAGCCAACACTAAAGGGTCTCCATCAAGTCCTAGCTTCGTTGAATGGAACTGCTGCAATGCTAGCTGTCTGTCTGCTGAGCTGTCGAACCCCGACACCAGTCGCTCAACCTATGTCTTCCAAGACGCTGTGCCATCTGACCTCTCTACGCTGTCATTTGCTGCCTTCGCTCGGCCTCTCAACAGAGTCCCCAGCACAACCGCCCTCGCCACCTGCTCCTTGACACCCACCAACTCAGCAATGGTCTCTAAGTCACGTAAGAATCTCCCTGTCTCCTTTTTTAAACGGAGTTGGCCATGGGATCTTCATTGTTTGGAGGTTAATGACACCAGTTGTAACGATAGAAGGCAATAGTCAGGCAACAGATCGTTTATTGAGGAAATCAACACATATTTATAGATTTTCATGTACATTACTACAGATTATTGTTAGCAGACAACACAGTCTCCTGATTGGTTGTTTCTCGCTGAAAGATAAGCTTTCATCTCTTTGTGGCTGTTTCCTGAAAGTCAGATCATCTATCTGCTAATTGTATCCACCTACGCAAAGTCTGCTGTGATTGCTTGTTGAGTCAGTCTTTGTTCTTGTTTTTCACATGACCAATATTTGAGACATAAAAATTGACGTAAATTACTGTCTACCGATTTTGGCAAGCGGACAGCTCTCACCACTGTGGCACCACTACTTGCGAAGTTTTGGTAAGATTGCAAGTTACCTGCTGATTTGACAAAGGGTTACTTTTTCAAACTTCCAATGAAAGGAAACTTAATTCAATGGAAGAACTTTCACGGCATTATACTTTGAGGATCTGGACTTCGACGATTATATATGTCTGATTTCCCACAAAATGGAAGATATGCAGGTGAAAAGCAACAAGTCGGCAGAAGAAGCACCCAGAGAAGATAGGCCTTCAGATGAACATAGAGAAAACAAAAGTGAAGATTCCTGGCCAATGGCAACAATAATAGACAACAGTTAGAGTAAATGGAAGAAATCTGAAAGAAGCAACCTCCTTTGCCTATCTACCTGGGAAGCATCGTTTTGGCTGCAGGTGGAACTGACGAGGATATCAAAAGCCAGGATCGGGAAAGTAAGGCAAGGTTTTAATACTCTGAAGCCTGTGTGTAGGTCAACAATACTCAGCATGAAAAAACCAAATCCGGATTTTCAACTCTAATGGGAATTCAATGCTGATATACGGATCAGAGACTTGGCGCGTCACGAAGGGCACTTCGAACAAACTACAGACCTCCATCAACAGTTGTCTTCGCTCATTACTCAAGATCAGATGGACAGAAAAGATCAGCAACAGGGATCTCTGGGAGCGAACCAACCAGGAACCGACTGTGCGACAAATATGCAGGAAGAAATGGCCATACTCTGAGAAAACCATTAAGTGACATCACAAGTGAGACCATCGATTGAGTGGAGCCCGAATGGGGAGTGGCGAGATGGTCGTCCGTGGGTGACATGGAGGAGGTCATGCGAAGACGAGATGAGAAAATTTTGGCAGATGCGAAGTCAGCTGAAAACTTTGGCAGAGAACCGAACGCAGCGGAGACATGTGGCTGAAGCCATACGTTCCTCTAGGAACTAAAGGAAGCAATAATAACTAGAACTTCATCTGTGTTGTAACATCGTTTCATACACAGAACTGAGTTGCTTGCGAGTGTCTAGTATATTAGAAGTATTGACGATTAATGCATATCTCGCCTTTTTTCGCAGAGAGATTAAAATTGGTTCATTCAGTCTTTGTTGCCTTAAAGTCAGACCAGAAATAACTTAAAGTTAGGAAGTATTGGTTTTTGTTGGGATTTAATTTGATTGGTTAGAGGGTTTCAAGCTCACTTCCTTACACTAGGACTTGTAACTCAAAAGTAGAAGCGATAAGTCACAGAATTATCGGGGGGATCATCCACACTTAAATCCCTGTCTCGCTATTGCTCACTCGTATGTCCTTCTGACATGGGACTCATAGTTTCGCATCAGTCAGGGATTTTGTATATATTTATATATTTGTGAGTAAGTTGTATGCAACAACCCTGTTATATTCCATACAACCTTACACATGTAACTGAAAAAAGTATGAACGAAAATTTTTTCTGAGATTACTTTGCGTGAAGCTGGTTTGGTGATACCTGTTAACTGGTACAAAATAATCTTTTCTGTCATTCTGTTTCTGTTCGCGTCAGTTGAAGTCCATAACTTACAAACATTTGGGGGCATGGTGGCCAAGAGAGTAGGTTTCCTTTTTCAGAAACCACATTGACTTTCCTTCCGGGTTTTCACGCGAGCGTGCAGCTGAGATGTTCTTCAAATCTGGTTCGCTGCTAACTTAATATGTGATAAAACAAAATCAGGATAATTTCTTTTGCGCCGGAAATATAAAGCCTGTAGCATTCAACAAAGAAAGATAATTGAATTTTTGACTACCTAATGAGAAATTAGAAAGCAAGAGCAACACTTCATATGTACGGTTACAGTTTACACCGTCGTTCACACCCCTGCTCTCTACCTTTTCATTTCAAGCTTTGTAACTTCAGTAGCGGTGGTGTTTTTACGTGTCGCAACTACCAAACTTCTTTACTGATCCCTAATAAACTGGGATAGGTTTAGTAGTGCTTGGGCCTGGAAATGAACCCGGATCATAAGCATGGTTGGAGAGTATTTTACCCGTAAACTGATGAGGTACTTAGGGGATTCATTTTGATTCACAACCTAAGTCACTGGTATCCGGTTACATGAGGAGATTAGGAAACCTGTGAGCCGCAGAACTTTCAAAGGATTGAGAAATGGTGGTACTGTTAGGTTTGTATGCTTTCAGTGGCATTCTACCTGCTGTTGTGTGACTACAGACAGCATATATCCATTCTTTTTTCCCGAGATACATCAGTGTATAACGAGAATAGCGAAGCATTACTCAACGTTTAACTTCATCACGTTTGTGGATTCTAGAAAGGATGTTATACATGGCATATCTCAGCAGGTACAAATTTTGAAGGGCAGGGAAACATCATCGGATCTGGTCATTCGAAGTTTTTCTGAGCCTACCCCAAGAGCAAAGTGAAATTTTCTACCTTGGTATTCATTGTTCACTTGTGTGTTTAAATTCTCTGTGGTACAGTGGATGTCACTAGATCGTTTCAGTTTCGTTTGGCAGTAACGTTGGTTTTAACCCAGTCCGTGTAAGATTTACGCGAGTATTTGTGGGCATGTTCTCAATGTATTGCTTAGCACTTGCATATTTCTTCTAAATCCAGCTCTTTTGGTTTTCATCACATGCATATTGCGAATTCTACTGTATTCCACTTCTATTCTGCCATAGTCGAAGGTATATACGTTCCATATTAGTTTGTTTATTAGAGATATTACACAGTGAAACAGTATTACATACATTAAATAGTGTTTCACTGTGTGATATAGCCAATAAACAAACTAATATCAAATCACTTACAATCACAGTGCTCAAGTTTTTACACACATTAAAAAACTGGATCTTCAAGGATATGTAGTAGTAGATGTTAGATAGCCGGTTTTGATTTCTTCAGGATTTGGCTTGATGAGAGTCCGGTTTGGAAGTGCTCGTCGACGGAACTAGTGTTACTCGGTTACCGTAAGAGTCTAAATTTTTATTCACGGGCTGCACGTAGTTTCAGGTCATTATGGGTAATTCGTAGAGCCTTCACTAGAATCACCAGAGATATGTTCACCTCCTTATATACATCTCTAGTGAGGTGAAGACTAGAAAACTGCATCCAGGCCGCCAGCCCTTGTCTAAAAGGGGACTCACTTATTCTAGAAAGGGTTCAAAGGAAAGCAACACGTATGATTCATGGCATGACCGACTTATCATACAAGGAAAGACTAGACAGTTTAAATATCTTCTCCTTGTCATACCGTAGGCAGAGAGGAGATTTAATCACAATGTTTAAGATTTTAAATAATGACTACGGACCTGACCTATTTTCTCTTTTCCTTCCCACCAGGTCGGAACACCTTAGAAGACATAGCAGGAGAGTTCAAAAGCAAAGAAATCATATTGCTTTTGAGTACTAGTTCTCACACCGAGTCATAAACTCTTGGAACCGACTCCCAGAAGAAGTGGTGTCTGCAACCTCAGTTGATTCGTTCAAGAAGTGTTTGGACAACCACAGAAATTTGCTAGAAAAGGATTAACATAGGCTCCAAGCCTTCTATCCTCAACCAATAAATCTGAAATCTGTAATTCAATTGTTGCATGAGTACCCTGTAGGAATAAACTCGAATATTGTGAGGAGGGGGTATTGGGGCAACTGCTGTAGATGTCTATATCTCTTACATAAGTCTTGAACTTCCCAACTTATATGCAGTAGGGGGTTTCGAGATTCGATTAGTAACCCAATACTTCCTCTTCTTAGAGCTTTTAATGCAGGAACTGGCAAATTATCTAATTCTTATGGTGATATCTGACCTTAAGGCATATCCTCATCATGGCTATGCCCTCGTATTTCTTAAAGATGGAACTAGGCCGTCACATTTCGAAGACTGGCAATTCACTTTTGTGAACTCTGAAAGTGGTCCCAAGATTGTCTCACTTCCTATTGTCAATTACACAGTCTCAAGCTTAGTCTAGTGTAATTTAGCCTTTGGAGCCCGTCATTGCCCTCAACGGTTTCGCTTAGTAGTAAATTTAGTGTATGTAGCACAAATATCGCTACAGAGCAGGTTTGGTACTTCTGTATTCTTCTAACACAATCAACACTACCCGTACGTGAGTGAATAAAGGCTTCGCTGCATATCGTAAGGCATTAGGTGACCAACAGTACGGAACTCTGTTTAATATAGTATGACAAAGCGGGTTGTGCACGGTTGACTCTACTTTACAAGTTCAGCAGTCGATGGCTGAAGCTTTAGGGAATTAAGAATGTTTACCGTATTTGGTCAGAACGTGTCTATGTAGGTTCTCAACCAGCAGTGTGTGGATTCTATCACTGCCTGTGTCTAATGGACCTGAGGCAATACCGCTTGGTACCTGCAGCATCACTTAAAACATTTTCACCAAGTTGCTTTTAGTTGTTGAACACAACTAGATCCGTATATTCAACGCAGCAGACGTAAGTTATTGTTACAAATAGAGCAGTAGAGTTACTGTATTGTTTCTTTGTAACCCTTGATACTAGCAATGCTGGCCACACACTTTGAACGATTAGTTGACTGGTGTTATATTACGCTGTCACATCACGCATTTATTTGTTACTGTAGGAGTTTGTACATAATTCCATCCATGTCTTCTTAACTTCACTAAGAACTTATTCACTTGTGATTTCTATCTCTTTTGAAGGTAACATTGCTTCTAACTAAAATTCATAACTTGGATTTCAATGGCTCATTGGGGCTCTTACGGATCCTATTGGCAAGGTGCTTACCCACCATATTATGATTATACTCAGCCTGCTAAGGTTAGTTCCAACTTTCGTTTGCTTATCTGTAACAGACTTATGACTACAATCATCAAACTGTCGCAGTTCCGTTAGGTGTGGACGAATCCCCCACACCTCCACCACCTGGAGTAGAATCCTGCACTCCAAAAGCTGATACAACTGCAATCACAACTTGTGTGACGCCGTATAACGCATCCTGGTCTACTCCTGCTCCCTTCCAGTCACAGGGCCATGGTGGCCCCTATCAATATCCACCATATGAAATGACAGCACAGAATCCTGCGGTCCCAGGCGAACAGTATCCTTATGGTCCTCCAGTATTCATGTTTCACAATCAAACAGGAAGTGGCTGGGATGCATTTAGACTTCTCTCTAACCCCCAATCTAACGGACATGCGGTTCAATCGAGTGGTGTGCGACCCAACTGCGGGACACCTACATACTCCAATAGTATGATGGTGAATGGTCCACTGTTTCCATTCCGGAATAATCAAGGTAAGATACACAATGTTTGGTTAGTGTTCAGACTGCTGTGCGTTGTGTACATTTGCCGAGAATAAAATTCATCACGTAGTTTCATCAGAAATGGAGTAAAAGTGTGACTGTTAGCTCAGTGATGACATCAATCGGGTCGGCTTATTTGTTCAGTATTTTTTTATCTTGGTTGATAGCGTACTCAAAAGTGATTCTGTACTTAACAAACTTCTTTGCATTGCCAATTTTTTCTGAAACATTACCAGTTTATTGTTAATCACACTGATTGTCCACTTCACGCAATATACTAGATTTTCTAACCTACAGCTACGTAAAACACCACTAAATGTGTTTCAATACCGAGATGAGTGAACAAACGAGTCAACTTTTCATTCGATTAATCCCTTTCTCAATATCCTTTCTTGTTTTTCGACATTTATTTTTCTTGATATCTGTATTTAAATGCATATCGGTTGACTATTTCTGTGTTGATACTGTAGTGCAAACCACTTTTGTACTAGGTTAGTTTCACTGTTCTGCTCAGCAGTTCCCAACGTCCTCCTTTATGACATAGAGACATGGCCATTGAGAGTGAAAGTTATAGAAAGACTAGACGTATTGGACTGCGGGTGTTTGCTTGCTGCCTCCCGTGTTAACTGGTATAATATAGTGATATCGAAGTTAGGCGTAATGTTAGATAAGGAGGTCAAGTAAGTCGATCAAGTTGTGAAACTACATCGATTTAAATTGCTAGGACATATACTGCGCATGTTAAGTAATCGCCTTCGTCGACAAGCAATGTTGGCTGATAAAAGACTAGGCTGAGAAAGAGTTCGAGGTGGTCAAAGAAAAACTTGATATCAATCCATGAAGTCTGACAGTTTGTGTAAGGTGGTGTATTCTAATTAGCTGGGGTTATTGGGGTGGTAAGAAGGAATGACTGAAAATCATTGTCAATGGCACAGGTGCATTCAATCTCTGTGATCCCCCACTTCGATTGAACCCTCAAACTGTTTTATGTTACTATTCTTTCTCCCTTACATTTCTGCTGATCATAATTTTTTTGAATCTCTTCGTTTCGTCTTTTTTGTCTTTGTGTACAACTTAGAATGTGGCATCTTAAACTACCACACTTCTGCTGAAACTCATTCAGTTCTCATTTTCCATCAGGTCATGTAATACCTGCCCTCAAAGCCTCTGCTTTATCCCACTTCATTACTGATAAATCAAGGGTACCTTTTTGTCTTCTCAAGTGCCATTGCCTCACTTGCACGCGCATTATTTTTAAGTAAGGCCACCTATAGTGTTGAACAAAATAAGGGACTCCAGAAGTGGTTACCAATGGCGACAAAGAAAGTTGATTGGGGGTTACGCTAAACCACGAATTGACAAAGTACTCAGCGGTCATTGAATTCTGGCTTAAGTGGCTAAATGGTCAGTGAGCTTGGTCTCGTAACCTGAAGGCCCGGGTTCAATCGCTGGTGGGATAGTAGGCAGCTACTGCTGTAAAACCCAAACAGGGCGGAATAGCTGTCCAATGCTCCGTGGTGTCCGATGGTCTCTAACTGATGTTGGTTCTTGAAGAAATCTAACAATTGTAGTCAAGTTCCATTCAAATCCGATAACCTAGATTTATTTTTCACTTAAATTATCGTTTACGGCTAGAATATATATATATACCTTTAATACAACAGAATCAACCACTCTAATGGCGACAAGTTCGTTGGCTAATCAATATCAACTTGTCAAAAGGGTGGCAGTATGCCACCTATGACAGTAGTTACAAGACATGACGCCAGTTTATGTTTGTGACTGTTGGTCTGAATCACGTGTGTAGATTTTCTACGTGTTGCATCGTAGCATTTTAAGAATCAATTGCCTAGGTCTCTTTGTGACACAAAAATCGCTTGCACTGTCGCTGAAGTGTTTATTCCTTATTGCCTTTCAAATTCCTAGGATTTTTGATATGGTGTTAGTTACTGTCACCATTGTAGTATCACTGCGCTTGTTTTATTCTTTTGATCTCTGAAAAATGCACTTTTGTACATGGTTCCTGATCTGTTAGTGAGTGTAAAGTGATGGTTAACTCTTGAAATTTGTTCCACATTTAAAAAAAGTGGTTACTGAGGATCAACTATCTCGTTCCTGGTTCATAAGCACAGTAACCGTTTGTCTTCAAGCCTAATGCTGTGTATGTTACATGTGTTTCCCCGTGTTTGCGTGAAATTGTAATTGCAGTTTTAATCTGATTGTTATGCTGTTATGTTAACGTGTACTTCATAGTCTTAGGAGTGTCTCAGAAAATTCCTTGTTAGATTTATAATCAGTGCTCTTCGTACTTTAATAATATTCATTACTCCGATCTACGAAACTGATTTGTTTTATATATATATATATATATGTAAAGGTCCTCTACATCCTGCATCAAGTGTACATACTCCGAATGCAGCTGCTTGTACACCGCTGTCGCAAGAAGCATTAAAACAGCCTCCAGCCAGCTTCCAAGATAAAGGAGCAAAAGAACAGTGGAGCGATGAACTCAAGTAAGTTTATTTTCCAAGTTTTAGGGAGTGTTATCACTGTGACTCGGCGTCCTTGTATTATCTAACTAATGTAGGGGCGACATTTAATAACTTAAAACATACAGGAGCTATAGATATGAAGTATTCAGTCTTCTGCCCATTAAAATTCGATGACATGCACACATTTCTGAAACATTTTTCTTTTTATATATAAAAGAACCTTTTAAAATCATCATTCTTTTACACCCATAAGTCCGGATGGTAAAACGACTTTCGTATTACGCGATGGAAATCTTCATTGTCTTAAGTTATGGTGTTCAACGGTATTGAAATTGTAGTTTGCAACGTACAGTGTGTGTACCAAGTTTCGGTTTTTGGTCCTGTTTTGTATTTGGTAGATTTTTATGGCGTAGAGTCCGCTTGATAATAAAGATTGCGGTGAAACGGTAAGTCAGGTAATATTGATTTTATCCGCTGACCATTGCGTCGTATATATATATATATATATATATATATATATATATATGGACTGAGCTCCTACGCATACACTTAGTCTTTATTACACATGCGTGAACATAGGTGTGACATCACCAGTTATTCTAAATCTCTATGACGGTTAGAATCCTGAACTTTCTACATTCCATGTAAATGTGTAATGGCCTTTACTTCATACTGTTCGAATTCTCTTGTATTAAAAGCGTCTCTAAACTCAGTGTTTGTTTTCAATAGTCTAGTTACTTGTCATAAAATCGCGTAACCTGTCTAATAATGGGAAAAAAGATATCCTTTTTTGTCGAGTGCGTTTGTGACACTCGACATAATCTAGTATATTCTTATCAAATGAACTACTTAAGGTTTTATGTTCAGAAATGGAAAGGTAAGCTCCATGATTTAATTAGACTATGTCGTTGAGTTGCACTATGAAAATTTCTTAATGTAAGAACCTCAACTCTAACCTATCACAAAAAAGTTTATATTTTTTTAAGTATCCCAAGTATCTGGTCCATTTTTCTAAATTTATATAGGGAGTATGTTCAGCGAGCATTTTGCAGCATTGATACCAGCGAGGAAAAAGATCAGATGGAACGTATTTTAAAGGAGAAGCTAGAGTACATATTCCGAAATAATATCAAAGTTGATTGGAAAACGGAGAATATCCCAACTATCCCCAGTCGCGCAATTGCTAGTTTTCGCAAATCTTTTGGAATAAGACCTAATTCTGTCAAGTAAGTGACAGTATTTCTATTTGTGTTACTGCATCAATAGCTAACAGTTCGCTGACGACTTCAGGCATCTATCAGAAAACCAGCAGTTTTTAATCTCTGAATTTTTCAGGTCAGTATAAAGTTAACTAAATAAAAGATATCTGCTGTACAACATCGGTGGACTCTGCAAGTACCTAACGTAATATCTATGCTAGTGGTTGATACGACACCTGTGCTTTTTTAAGGATTCTGTTATAACGTGTCAACAAATTTGATTTATTCAGCCCAGCTTACTTATGCAAACTGCAAGGTTTAGTCTGATATGGATGTCCTTTCACTTCAGTTAACCACTATATCGTGGTTTCAGCAGGATTTATTTAGTATGAGTAGTGGAAAGCAAGTTAACAAGCGTGCATATGCTTTGACGTAAATTGTTTTATGAATTTTCGACTATTGATAGTTTTCAAGTGTTTGCATTAATATCTACATGTGCACATTGGGTCCAAATTATTATGCCCTATTTAAAATAGGATATCAAGCCATTACACCTCAACTGGGTTGAATTTAGATTGAGTAGATTTCGTAGATTATCGCAGTTTGTCAGTTCAACCCTACACATTCTGAACATTCTGAAGTTGTACAGTCTACAAACACTAATTGTCATCTACACTTTTCGCTCCTAAATTGACGGATACTTTCCATAGCAAGGCGATGACCTATCATTATGCATTACAAGCGAGGTAATCAATAAGTCTCAACTGATTGGTTAAGTTGGTTGACGTCTGTCTTACGAATATCAAATCAGTGTTTCTCAAATAGCAAGGTGGGATGGAACCTAGGGATGGTCAAAGGAGTCGTGGAATCCATCACAGCATGCATTCGTTTCAGCAGTGTGCTAAAGGACCGGTGTTCTGTGAGGCTATGTTGGAAAATGTTGTTTTTCCAATGTTATTTTCTGCTAGAATATTGCAGTTTACTTCTGTATTGTTTAGAGCTGATCCTTTTTCGAATAATTACAATCCAAATGATTTATAAGCACTTGGGTAAATTATTTTGCTTTCCCCTCTCATATTGTTTTTATTTCTTTCTCCTATCGTTTTGACTCTTCTTACACTAAGTGTTTGTTTTTTGTGTGTCTAACATGCCGTGCAGAAGTTCTGTTTTTCTGTATAAGTTCCTAGTCTTTGTTTAGTACTTGACATTGGTATACACTGTCCTGATTATTTCATGAAAAACAGAACTTAGCATGTCACGTTACTTTTCCCTTTTGAATCATAAGACAAATTTTCCCTAATCAAGAGGAAGTTTATGTTTACTTAGTAGTTCCTGAGTACGAAGACTATGTTTGTATCACCTCAGTTGTTTCCAAAATTAAGTAATTGTCGTCGCTTATGGCTTTGCACATCCTTTTGTAGTTGTAACAGTACATAACGTGCTTATATTTATTTAGATATTTACATTTTTAAATAAAATTATCTAGTGTCGTACGACCTGTTCAACTTCCTGGGCCTCGTGGACTTCGCCAAACAGGTCCACGGGTATCACCACGTCTGCCTGTCGGACATTTGACGAAAGGTGGCCGCAATGTGTTTTCTTCATTTGTTGAAAGTACATCAGTATCCAAAGAGTTGCCTTCAAAATCTCGCTCCCCTAGCCGTTCACCTGTTACCAAGTCTTTGAAATCCTGGCCAAGAAAGCGTTCATATAGATCCAAGTCTAGTTCGACCTCACAATCACCTAATTCTCACCATTCCTCATCTTCAAGTAGTATCAGGACAAAACGTCACCGGCGTCGGGATTCTCGGTCGCACTCTGGTTCTCGACAAACACAGAAAAAAGTGAAAAATGTGAAGGATTCTCAGAAAAGGTGTGCTAGTAGTTTCCCCTTTTTGCTTTAACTGTATTTCTCATGTCCACACTTAGTAGTTTTCACTGGGTGTGGCTTTACATTTACGAGAATCTCAAGACCTTATTTATGTCCCTCGTGTTTTTGAACACATTGGAATTCCCTACCTAAGCTATCTGCTGCAACCGAAACACACTTCCTACAGTGTCTTACCATTAGTTTTCGGATTCAGAACACTGTCGACTAAAACCAAATCTATTTCTAACTTGAAGTTAAAAGTTAAAGTAAATCACTTCCATCTTTGTGTTTACCAATAAATTGCATTGACTTCTTGTTTTCGAGCTAGCGTAAACATTGTAGGAAGATGAACTTAAGTAAAGGGTGTAGCCAGTGACAGGGCATAATTTGGTATCGCACATACCCAGTACATTATTATTCACGTAATGTAGTTTATTTAACATGATCAAATCCGACTTCGAAAATTAAATACTAATATAATTCTGGTGTTGATCACCATCTAGTGAAGTACCCTACTACTAGTGAGTAAATCACTAACTAAAAATTTATCTGTAGTATTTATTTGAAGCATATGGTTGTCAGCTAAATCGATTTCCATACTCAGTGTTATAAGCAACATCGTTTCATGGATAAAAGTATCAGTTATGTTTCAAGAATTATTCTGAAGGAATTCCTGAGTTAGTTGGTGTTCAAAAGTTCGAAAATTGTCCCAGTGGCCCATACATTCTTTTTTACTTCGTTACTAATTTCACCTTTTTCATACGCGCTGAATATGTGCCTCTCTTTATCTCCCCCTGTACATTATGTTTAGTAACTACTAGATAACACTTGGTCGTTCATTTAACCAGCAATATCTTCAGCAGGGTAAAATATTTCCTGCGAAACCCACACAGTTCTACTCCGCTCTGTGCGAGTGAAATAAATAAGCTCATCTTTCCATTCTTCTAACCGTCATAGGTTTCTAAAATTAGGTTAACTATTCAGTCTCATTAGATGTGTATAGAGTTCTATATGTCTACATCCAGCGACCAAAACAGTCGATTGGAACTCAGCTTCTTAGTGTACATGAAATCAGCAGAAATTTTCAGGTGCATTGTGAACAGAAATTAGTCATATTTCTGCGTATGGAATGTGCATTTATATCGTATAATCACAGTCGAAATTGTATTCTAGAAACACAATATTTGCTTTTTGTCGAGTGAAATTGATTTTTGTCATTTTGGATTGGTACTTTTTTCAAAACAGCAGAATATCTTTGTATAGGAACGCTTATGTGATATTTATGCTATGCTCTCCGTATCTATGTACCTTCCTGTTTCAGTACACCACTACCTGGCACAAGAGGGAATTCCAAGAGCGGACAACGAAAACGTGGTGGCACTCAATCTAGTGCTGATTCAAGTGCTGACTTAAACATCTCAAGTGAGGACGGGACAGTCTTAAGAGGTCGCGGGCGTGGCAACTGGCGTGGAAAACGTGGAAGTGCTACTTCGAAACATCCTACTCCAACTGAATCACGTTTATCACAACGAGCTAGTCGATTTAAAGATCATCTTCCAGAACCGCACGCTATCGGATCAGGTTCTATTGCACGGACTACTAGCCAACTACTTTCCACTTACACTGACGAACAAGATGACTTGGTTGCTGATTTTGGCAGTTGTCAAATTGTTGGTACTATGCAGGAAGTAGAAAAGCAATATTTAAGACTAACTCGAGTAAGTTTGGGGACTAAATATTTTATACGGGGTTATTGTTGAAACAATCGTTTTCAGTTTGTTTTTTGAAGTGGATTTACCGAACATTCTCCATTCTTCGGACTTCCTGATTGGAGTTACCCAGACGAAGTGTGGGATCGTGCCGGCCGGGGATCGAAACCGGACTGTCAGAACTGCAGTCCTTATAATAATTGATGCTCAATACCATAAAAGACTCCTAGACTTTTTTTCAAAGAGTTTAAACTACATGCAACTGGTGTTTTAAGCCACCTCTGAAGGTGCAGATTGTTTTAGTGGAGTTTTGGGTTCACTAAGGAAGTGATGATTGTAGGCTGTTTGTGACATGGTTTGAAATTGTTCTCAACAATGAAATTTAATGGCTCCACTTTTAGATGTGTTGTTTATCAGCAAAGTGGTCACAATACAGATGCGAAATGCCCACTCGTGTAATTTTTGATAACTAAAGAATGCACCTTTGTGCAACAGTCTTGCTCGCTAATGCTTTTTTTTCAATACAACATAATCTTAAAAGGTAAACACCTTTGATATCTTAATTCGGTTTTTAATGTGAGTTTGTTGACAAGCCTCCTAGCAGGAAGACCATATGTATCATTGATATAAGAATAGAACTTGTGTGCTGTGGTAGAGTATATGATATGATTGCGAGCAATAAATTGTGCTTGAAAAGTCATCAATAAATATTACTGTATAACACTGTGAGATTATATCAAAATAAATTGTACCCATAATAAAATGTGAGTTGCTAGGTAGAAAAGTAGGTTAATTAACTAAAGTGACCAGCACATATTTTGCGTGTCAGTCTACCACCCACCTTAGTGAGTAATAGCATCTCAGGAACCTGTTATAGGCGGTTTTGTCAAAATGGCATTAGTTTATAAAATGTCTTTGTTTCGGTATTAGTCATTTGGTATTCTCAGGATGCCGAGATCAAACAACACGGCATTCTTGAAATGACTTATCGTGTTATCAGGTTGTTCATTCACTTCTCCTTTTGATAAAATATATTGTGTTATTCAGTCACCTAACCATTCATTTTATGTGCTGGCGCATGCGCATACTTGACATGTGATAGTCATCCATTTGAAGGTTGAATCCAGTAGTAAGTACTTAAAAATCTCTAATAAACGACATCTCACACTTCCAAAATATGACGTCTTAAATGACTTCGCTCTTATGCAAGGTTTTAAATTCATTCATCTGTTTGGCTGAGATTTAATTGTAGAAAATTTAGAGTTTTGTATCCAATCAAATGAAAAATGCATTTCATTAGGAAAATTAGGAGGACACTGGAGTAAATACGTGTTCTCAATGATTCATTGCTGCGTTAACTCCATCTACTATTAAAATAGCTAGTCGATCATTTGGATTTTTACCTCTCAGCCGTTACATTCCTAAGCCGCAGTCCAGAAATTTACCATTATTCATGTTATGATTTGGTTTTTCAAGACATTTGTCGGATGCACATGTTACACATTTACCAATGACTGCGCCTCTTTAAAAGGTGTTTTGTTTTCAGAATATTATTTCCACACATTGGTCATGTAGATATATAAAATTTCAAAAGTTGTTGGAAAATATTACAGTAAATCATTTTGCTGAAAATGTGTTTAGTATTTTTAATATTTTCAATATTTCTACAAAATCTGTTTCTCTTTAACAGGCTCCTGATCCATCGGAAGTGAGACCACTATCTGTTTTGAAAGCTTCCCTAGAAAATGTTAGAGAAAAGTGGCAGTCCAATGCCGATTACAGCTGGGCTTGTGAACAATTCAAAAGTATCCGTCAGGATCTAATAGTAAGTACTCACGTCTCTACAGTCTTGTTATCGGTAGTAGTAACTCAGTCAAGTACTTGGTCGCTTACGGACATCTGTTCCTTAATATTGTCTTTAAATTTTTACTCAACCGGTTAGATGAGAAACAGCATGTAGTCGTAATTAATAAAGACCGTGGTTTTGAAGATTTCTGGTTATCATGTCCCCTAAACACCGGGAAATCCAAATTCTCGTGATGTTTACGTATATAATAACAAACAGTACTCTCAAACTTTGAGTGCTAATTTAAAAGAACTATTATTTTTATTGTTATTCTCTTGGGTTTCGAGTGAAACATACGGCTCCGAAAACACATCTCCACTTCTATTTTCTACCACCCTCTTCATCTGGGTCCACGATTGCCCATAATATCTCATCTCACATGATCTACTCTATGTCACCCTCGGACGACCTACTCGTTACTTCCCATTTGGATTCTAATCGAGTGATGCCCTGGCGAGCGATGTCATATATATATATATATATATATATATATATATATATATTGGCAATTTCTTATATCGCTATGATATGCAACACCTAGTGCATATTAACACTCATCTCGCACTAGAAATTAAAATAGCTAATTGTAATTTGGAAATTATATATTGAAAAAAAGACGAATTTAACATAACGGTATGAAATTGGAAGGTGCAGTGCGGAGTCATATACTTACTAAATCTCAGGTACCGTCTATTTGATTTTCTAAATAGTACCATCATTCGGGAGTTTTATACTGGTTCTTTAGATTGTATATTTCCTGAAGGTCTACAGGTTTACATTTGGTTGGTTGGTGAATGTTTCCTGACCTTAAGAGTCACCATCCTACGGGATATTTTGAGTAATACCTCGTATTGTGTTTAGTCGCTGCTTGTCAAAAACGTAACGGTCTATGTTTTTGATTTAGGTCATTCATCGTCTCTGTTGATTTACTTTCTAGGTACGCCGTAAACCTAATTAAGAACCTTTTGACATTGTGGCATTCTCATACTCAGCATAGTTGGTATGTCAGCTAGATATCTTAAATGAGATCTTCGTATTAGTCTTTGAAGGTTTTTTCAGCAAATCATTTTCCTCGATTTTAGGTACAAGGCATTGAAGACGACTTCGCTGTGTCTGTTTATGAAGCACATGCAGATGCAGCTTTGGACGCCGGAGATTTCGAAGAATTTCATCAGTGTCAAAGCCAGTTATTGCGACTTCACAAAGAAGGTTTAGGCTCTAATAGACTATTGGAGTTTACTGCCTATAGGCTTCTTTACTATATTTTCACTGTTGATATCTTAGGTAAGTTTAATGAAATCTTTCTTGTGATTCTATTGTATTTCATTTTAATGCCCGTTGAAGGCAAACGCTTATTTTCTCGGCTTATTTTTAATCTCCATTGTATAATCTTATCCTTTGGGTGTTATGACAAGATAGTAAGTACTAAATTCTGTTCCTGTTTTAATATTCTCCCATATCAATGTTCATAAGTCTGTATAATCCGCTTGGGCTATATTTCCCTTAAAATACCTGTAGTCAAGGTTCATTCACATCTTATACAACAGCATTAAGCTACCGAAATTAAAAGTTCCAGTGTAGATGTAGGTGTGAAAGGAAGTGTGTGATATGGATTTATTTTAGGCAATAGGTCTACACAAGCTACTTTGAAACTCAGCTTGTGGTTCGTCCAATATTATATATATATATATATAAATCTGGAAATTATATGTTTGTTTTGTTGCTAATCCTTTTTCCATCTCTTTCCTTTGGTTCCACTAGGTATCAACACCATTATGGCAGGTTTGCGACCCACTCACAAAACAAATCCGTGTGTGGCGTTTGCCCTAAAACTACGATCTGCGTGGTCCTTGAATAATTACCACCGGTTTTTTAAACTTTTGTGTCCAGCCGATGAAGAGCAGATGCCTCCTTTACGATGCAAACAGGTAGTAAACTGGTTTATTGATCGCGAAAGAAGGGAGGTTATCAAGCTCGTCTTCAAGGTGTACGTTGTTCTAATTTAAAGTTATATTATGATTTTTATAGGTAGAGTCATTATTGGTCCTTTTAGTATGTATTATTTTCATTTTTTAGGAAACATTCGAAACCCGGGTAGTTTAAGTTTTATGCCTGTTAGTTGTGTTAATTATCATAACTGCAACAGCACAGGATTTTATTCTGACTGAACGCACATTGTTTTACCATTCTTGTTTTGATTTAACACAAACGTGTTTGTGTTTCGTTCCGACTGAAGTAACGACTTGAGAAATTATATTTGTAGATTCAAACTGCTTTTGCAGAGGTTAAAACAGTTGACTTGGTTATATTTTATAATTGTCTGAATTCCATTTGGTAGTACTTACAAACTACAAACTAACTAACTAACTGCTGTTGGTTAGGCTGATCGCAAAATGTAATAACACCAGAAGTTAACATAAGCGGTGGTTTTTTCTCAACATTATCTGAATATTATGACTGAGCTTTCCAAAATTCAAATCACTTGGAGTAAACGGTATTATTTCATCGTATTATAGGGACAGCTAGTGACTGGTGTAGCTGGATAGTTTTCATTATTTCATGAATATTAGCGTCCGTAAATCACTGAATGAAATAAATGCATAGGTATGTTTTATGGTGAGCATCGTGAATTTCTATTCACCGCTTTCTCCATTGCGCTAAATCAGACGTGGTCTCCAGGCAGTGATCGAAGGTTTTAAAGGTATATTCACACTTCAGGGTTTTATTTCCAGTTGGCTGAACCAATGGTAATGATGTTAACTTTGTTTTCATAATATTATTTTATGATAATTTAGACAACTTTATCACTAATAATTTAAGCAGTCTGTTTTACGAAGTTGCAGTTTCGATTGCACTACGTTCACATTACTTCGATGCTGAAGAGGAACGCCACTACAGCATATCACTTTTTGTGCCAAATTTTCCATGTTCCACAAAAATTCCTGCTTTATGGATGTCTGTATGTTTGTATTTTTACTTGTTACAGTAAATTAAATGTGGTTATTTTAAATAATGTTACTTTTCATTTTAAATATCAGATTTTCCTGTCTCTTGTAATGTAAAAATGTCACATCATGTTACTCTTTCCCTATATATTTATAATTTTGATTTTTTTGTTTACCTTCGACTCCGATTGTCGTTTTCGTGAACATTCTCCGCGCCTTCGACGTATTCGTTTAATATGTATGGATTCTTCCACTACCTACACTTGTTCATTTTATAATCTCTCTCTCAATTACGATCTCATTTCTTTCGTTATTTCCAAATTATTTTCACCGAATGTCCCTGCTATTTTTAGTTTCCGTCCCACTATAAGCCTTTCATACATATCAAACCTAGCTGGTTTTTCATCCAATGATCTATGCAAAGATTTCATTTGTAAGGAGTTTGCAATATCAGAAGATTCACTTCAGCCACTGGAAAGGATCGATACAAAGACAGTCTGGAGTCTCGTATGCTCTTGATCGAATTAAATGAAAACTCCTGGGGAATTAATCGTCCTACGCAGTATCAACTCGATGGATCATCCAGAAACTTAGTGGAAGCGGGGCCTGCGTTGACAATTCAGATTTTTGTACATAGAAAAAATTTATTTTTTAAATATTAAAGCTATTTTATCTCATATTGTGAGAATTTTGTGAACCGGTAGTGGCCGTAAATTTATAGAACAACACGGGGGTTCGCATAACGTCGTTCGTACCATTCCCATCAGAACTCCGGAAAATTACAAGGCAAATTTTGCACACTGTCTTGTCGAACTCCGAATGGATCAGTATATCTAGACTGTGGTTTCTTGTTGGATGATAAAGTATTTTGAAAGCTTCGCTGTGCCCAGCGTCTTGCATTGGTTGAAGATTTGTTATTATGGGTGAGGAAATAGAAACGGAGTTTACAGAATAACAGTGCTTCATATATTGTTGGAATATCCAGGTCTGCCATTGGATGTGTTATAGGAAAATGGTAGCGGCCTGTATACGCGAATTCAGAAAGGCTACGTACCATGTTCGGTAGATGCGGGATTGTTGCGTCCATTCTGGTTTACGGGTGATTTTGATTTATGAACAAATTCTCCTACTAAGTCAGCTTAAAAGGCATATCTCCCTGCATTGGCAAGTAGTGTATTTCATAGCGTATCCATCCACTGACTCAACATCGGTACTGAGGACGTGTGTCTTGTGCTGCGGATCTGCACACTGACCTCAACAAAAGAACTGCACGGTCAGCTCACTGGTGTGTTTTCATAGGCGTGATCAGCACAAATTCTCGAACTGAATCTGCGAATCACTTCACATATGTGACGTCCATAGTAAAACACTAAGAGTTCACACCTTGCACGGATTTCATATCCAATGGCAAATGGTGACTGCTCGTTAATATGGAAAGTGCCTCGATCACCTGCCACACACCCACGATCTAGGACTCCCACCGATTAGTCAGAGCTCACTTGCACTCTCTTTTTCCTTATTTTTTCTCGTTCAATCCTCCTGTGATCCTGCGGTTTGGTTTCAATGGTCTGAATATCAGTTCAGCATTATTTCCGAAGATACTAAAACGTTGCCGAATTTATAGATTGTCATTTTACATGTTTATTTACAATTTTCATCTTGTTAAATTAAAATATGCCGGAATAGTTTCTAATGGCTTTGGTTAATTTTTGTTTGTATCGACTTATATTAATCGGATTTCCCTCGTAGTTAAATTCTTTTGTGGTAAAAGTCTGATGTCTTCTGGGGTTTATTATGATTATTGTCATCCGCAAAACCTGTTTATGAACCCTAAGTCGTACCTTTACCCACCTTTGTGTGTGATTCCTCTATACCCCAAACATCTCATTGTTTGTTAGGGATAAGTGTTAATACCTTAACTCTCACAAGGATTCGTTGATAAACAGTTATCAAATACGCGAATAATAATTCCAGCAGTAGTCTTCACCGACTGTGATTAATCCAGTACGCTGAGATTCTATCTCGATTATCTGTTATAGTTACTTGAAAAGAACTATATGCCTTGGCTGAGCAGTTGGGTTTATCCACTGATAACCACTGTTTTGCATCAATGTGAATGATTTCTAATGACAGCTGCTGACTTATACGCCATCGGAGACGAATTAGATAGATAATTATGTGTATTTAGGTGAAACCCAGGTGCTTGTCTATACGCTGACTGTGTCATCCCAAAACGGAATTGAACTGCGAAGGCGATCGGCAGGATATCGTAAAACTAGCTTTCCATTAATTATGCAAGTCGTTTTTCTAGACTAATTTTACATACTTTGGATTGAAAGTATCCAAGTTCTAGTCCACTTCTACTCCTATGTTTTGAGGAATTTTAGAAACATGACACACACTACCAGCTCAGTTACTTGTTGTCCTAATCCTGATTACGCAGATTGCAACAAAAATTCTCGAACTCAGAGATTAAGAGAAGAATGTAGTCATAAATTTTCAACACTACAACTTCTTGGAAGATAACAATTTATCCTAAACGATCAGTGCTTTCACACACGTAACGTTAAATTTCGGTATACTGTCAATGTCGTAATTCGCTCAGTGAAGTGAAATGAAGCACAGTTGGGAAGTGTACATGGAAACAGCGGGCAGAACGTGGGTCAGTGGGCAATTTCGATTGGTGATGTGGGCAGAAATCGGGTATAATGCAATATAATTACCTATTTTCCTTGTTTCCCCACGTTTGCTAAACTTTTCCCACTCTACCACCCACTAATTGTCCACTTTGACCCCTGACCGTAAGATACCGCTAAAGTGTAGTGGGAAATGTAGTGTTGATATAAGTATAAAACTTGGGCACTGTGGTAGAGTATAATTCCATAATGAATAAGATTTTATTTTGATAAATCACATAGTGTATCATATCACACAGTGATATGATTATGAGCAATAGTTTGTGCTCGAAACGTCATCAGTTAATATAACTGTACTACACTGTGTGATTTATCAAAATAAAATCTTATTCATTATGAAATGTAGTGTTGATTGCAGAACTTTTGTAATGAAAATAATGAAGAGTTAAGTTAAACTTTAAGCACCAGTAGAGTGCAGCCTCATCAATGACTTTGAGACGCTCGCTGAGGAGATTAGAGGAGCCTGGCAAACAATGTCATCATGAATAAAATATGATCGATAAAGTTTTATGTTATTGGATGGTATATCTGGTTAGGTTTTTGGAAACACTGAGTTAAGGTTTGCGTTAGGGCTAGGTTAACTTAGTAAGGGCAGCGTTAAGGTTGGTTTGAGTTAATTTAGGGATATTTTCAAGTTAGCGTGAGGTCAAGGAAAGATTAGGGTTAGAAGACTTCGATAATTACATTCACAGAATGTTATTAGATTGCTCTGTTGATAATTAAATCCAAAACTAAGAGGTATTTTTGTCACACGTCAGAGAATGGTACCCTCTGTAACAGTTCCTTACCTTCTAGTAGATAATTTTAATGAATGTATCACATAAATAGCATTCTAATGTGAGTGTTGCGTCCAAGGTCACTCGTCCATTGGTAGTTGCTGTTGTTGAAGTTTGACTTCGCCGAATGAAGTATACAGTTGAATGCCTTGGAATAAAAGTAAAGTTACGTAGAAGTGAAACATCTGTTCATACTAACCACCTCTTCTGACAAGAGTTCATTCTCTTTTAGCAGTCGTTGACCATGTAACCAACTTTTGTGGCTCATGATGGCATCAGTTTTCCTCAATTCTAATTGTTCACGACGACATCTAAGCATATGGTTAGTATTTAGAATTGTGCTCATAAAAAGTATATTACCAACTAGTTAAAACGTGTTGTCCCGATCGCCATTCTTATCCCGCGTCTCTTTATAAGTCATCAATCGTGCCACGTTTTTCGTGTACTGCACTCAGCATCAGTTTGCACTTTGAAGGACAGCTATGTCTAAAATAAAGTTGTTTAAGAAAATGGAGTGACACTTATTACATTCTGTTCAAAACCCTTCCTTTGATCAAGTCAATTTATCGAAAATCTGCAGCATTCCCATTGATTTCGCGGGTATTTTGATGCCGCGTTCATGTTTATCAAGCGTTTTCATTGATTATAGCATTCACCAAGTTTATATGCCTAAATATTTTCATCTGGAGTTGTAGTGGCCCATTTCTTTATTCATTATCGTAATATACTTTCACTATGTAATTTGACTTTGGTTTGTTTATCTCTCTAAAGATTGTGTGTAAACAGTTGATACATTGTACTCGCTCAACTTTTGGTTTTTGACTACAGCAAGAATGTACGTTCGTACCCTTTCTCAATTGCCTTTTGAGTTACCTTGTGAATGTCGAGTAATCACCACCTTCGGACACAATAATAAACGCGGAGAAGTACTAGGATATGTGTGTATGCTAGTTTCGTCAAATAGAGCAACACAACAGAGTTCACAAACTTCATCCATGCGAGGCAACTTCACTGGCTAGCTCCTTTATGTTATCAGATGTTTCCTGCAGCACTCAAGCGTACTTTGGAAATCTGAGGAGGAGTGGTTATTAAGGTTAATTAGAGTTAAGTAATTTACGTGCTAGTATAAGGATATACCTACAAGCCACCCTCTGACAGCAAGCCAATCCTGTTTTTATCACATTTAGATATTACAAGGATCATACCTGGTTATTCCTCTTCTCACTTTGGTCACTGCTTACTTGATCATACATAATCGGGCTTTTTAAAGACGTTACACTGTTTATCCATCAAGTCAGATGGATATTTGTCATCAATAAAAAATATCACTTTTCGAGCACTAGGTAGTAAGTGAAACTTCAAATTATTAATACATTCGCCGTGTGTTTTGACTCATGTCACAGCGGATTTTGTTGACTGACTACAATCACTGGCGATTGTGTAGTTATTAGATCGGTGAAAAAATTGTAATAGTGAAGGGCAACTGTTTATGCGTCGGTGGCACAGTGGTTAGGACTCTCGCCGACCATGCACATGGTCCGCGGTTCGATCCCCTGCCGGCGCACACCCGATATCTATGGTCGGCCTGCTAAATTTGGGCTACCGATATCCATGCTGAAAATGCCATACTTGTACTGAAAATACGGTGTGGCATCAAGCTGTAATCAAAAAATAAATAAATAAAAATGTTTAGTCACATTAATATGCATGTTTCTCCTGTCAGTTTGACCTTTGGTCATTTCGTGTCGAACAAATGATATTGGCTCCCACCTGATTCAGTTACAGGGAACTAGATGTGCCAGACTTAATTAACTGCTTGACTTGCAACTAGTGTGTCACAGCTTAACAACACTCCGCCTACTTTGTTCTGCACAAATAAAGTGTCAAAATAATTACACTATTCATTCTGATTCTTAGTTGAACATAGGGCACCACATTGTTCTCTGAAGTTTTGTTTAGCTGGCTACATGATCAGCCGAACGCCTGCAATTCTCCCTCACACGATCTCGGTGTCACACCTGGATACAAAAGCTGTCGCTTCTGTATACGATGTCGTTTTTACGAGATGGTGTCGCAGCGGTAGTTCATTCCCCGGAATTATTAGCCACAGAATTATTATTATTATTATTGTTCCCTTGGGTTCCTAGTGGAACATAGGGCTTCAACTGCACGTCTCCACTTGCTTCTGTCTTGTGCTGTACTTTTCACTTGCGTCCATGTTATTCCATACTGTTTCATCTCCTCACACGATCTCCTCCATGTCACCCTTGGA